TGTGTGTGTGTGTGTGTGTGTGTGTGTGTGTATTTTTTTAGTATTGATGGTATATGTATTCATGGGCCTTAATGCTTATGAATATGAAATATAGTTAATATTAGGATAGATCCACACTTCTTAACTTTAAATTCCTAGAATTGCCAAAATTAATTAGAATTGTCCCAAAGTTAAGCAGGGTTTGTATTTGAAAAATGTTATAGAGAAGAATTGCCTTCATACGCATATTTGAGACTCATAATAACACAAAGTGGTCAAAAAACTTGAAGACTAAGACTTGGAGTAACTATATGAAAAGATATAGACAAAATACCTCTGATAAAATTATTTAATTTTCTTGGAATAATCCATAATTTCTCATAGGACATCATAAATTTTTTTTTTTTTTGGCACATGAGCCTCTTGACATCTACACCTTCTCCTCATTCATGAAGCCATGCAGCTGAACAACAATGTGACCGAGTTCATTCTACTTGGGTTGACACAAGACCCTGTTAGGAAGGAAGTAGTTTTTGTCGTTTTTTGCCTTTCTATCTGGGGACACTGATGGGAAATGTGCTGATTATCACCACCATCAAGACCAGTCGGGCACTTGGGAGTCCGATGTACGTCTTCCTTTTCCACTTATCCTTATCTGACACCTGCTTCTCCACATCCATCGCCCCTAGAACCATTGTGGACACCCTTGTAAAGCAGGCCACTATTACTTTCGGTGAGTGCATAATCCAAGTCTTTACATTCCATTTCTTTGGCTGCCTGGAGATCTTCATCCTGATCCTCATGGCCGTGGACCGCTACGTGGCCATCTGCAAGCCCCTGCACTACACAACCATCATGAGCTGCAGGGTCTGTGCAGTGTTGGTGGCTGTGGCCTGGGTGGGGTCCTGTGTGCATTCCTTAGCTCAGATTTTCCTGGCCTTGAGCCTGCCTTACTGTGGTCCCAACATGATCGATCACTATTTCTCTTCATCCTGATCCTCATGGCCGTGGACCGCTACGTGGCCATCTGCAAGCCCCTGCACTACACAACCATCATGAGCCGCAGGGTCTGTGCAGTGTTGGTGGCTGTGGCCTGGGTGGGGTCCTGTGTGCATTCCTTAGCTCAGATTTTCCTGGCCTTGAGCCTGCCTTACTGTGGTCCCAACATGATCGATCACTATTTCTGTGACCTGGAGCTCCTGCTGGAACTCGCCTGTGCAGACACCTATGTGGTCAACCTGCTGCTGGTGTCCAATAGTGGAGCCATCTGTACAGTGACCTTTGTATGTTCAACTATGCTGTCATCCTGCATTCTCTCAGAAACCACAGTGCTGAAGGGAGGAGAAAAGCCCTCTCCACCTGCATCTCCCACATCACCGTGGTTGTCTTGTTCTTTGTACCTTGCATAGTCATCTACACACGCCCTGCCACCACCTTCCCCATGGATAAGATGATAGCTGTGTTTTACACAGTTGGGACACCTCTGCTCAACCCTATGATTTACACACTGAGGAACGTAGAAGTGAAAAATGCCATGAAGAAATTGTGGAGCAAAAAAGTCATCTGAGATGTTAGGTGATGAAAAGACATTTCAAGTCCTTCTTCATAGCTTGCATTGACCTCAAAGAAGTCAATAGAGAAGATCACTTTTTCACTGTTGGTTGAATTTGACAATACTTATTGTTAGGGTCTTGTCCCATCATCCCATATCTTCATCGTTTTCTCCCTGCCGCAGTACAAAGACCTAAATTCAAATATTTATAGACACTTCCTGTTGTAAGGGACAGTATACATACTTTGGGTAACTTTTCTTTCAACTCCGGGTTATACTCTGAAAACTGATCTTGTGCCTACCTATATCCTTCTAGGGCAGCAATGAAATACAGAGAGAAAACTTCACTCTTCTGAAAGTTGCCTGGATCTCATTTATTGTGTCTGTAGTCATGTGATTCTTTTAGTCATGTGATTCATTTGCTTTTCACTCCTAATTTGACCCTCTTAAATTTGGGGATATTATTAGTTTCACTTGTATCGCAATTAATTTCTCTTGGTTTTTGTTGTTGTTGTTGTTGTTGTTGTTGTTTGCTTGTTTTTGTTTTGCTTTGTTTTGTTTTTTTGTACCGGGGATCAAACTCAGGTCCTTGCACTTGCAAGGCAGGCAGCAGAACCACTGAACTAAATCCCCGCTCAAATTTCTCATTTTTAATAGAAGGCTACTAACATAATATATACAATGGCACATATATCTCAAACTAAGGTAGAGATTATTTTGTACCCTAGAGATAGTGGGTACACTCACTAGATCGCAGAGAATCTGAAAATACTAGCAGACTAAACAAAGAGTGTGATAGCTACAGGAATGTTTTGAGTGCAGCGGCCCATACTTTCCTTATCAAATCAACTCTGACTTCCAAAATCAAGGTCCTACAGTTGGCCAAATTCACTTTCTTTTATCTTCCAAAGCTCAGTGTCCATCTATTAATACCTATTTTTCGATCCAGGAGTAGCTACATAATCCTACAAGTTTCCACTTCACTCATGAGCCCAAGAAGCTGGACATTGTATTGCTGTGTAATCTTTTTTGTGCAGTTCTCTACAGATGTTCTGGTTAACATTTGTCTTCTTTTCACTTATTACTAAAAATGAATAGTCTTTACTTATTTTATTTCTTGCATTTCATAACAATGAGAACAGGTACTTTAGAGATAATGAATCAGGCACTATGGTTCAGTCAGTCACACTTATCTTAATTAATAAAAACGTAAAACTGTTTCCCTTAAAAAAATCTGAACAAAAATGAAGAGCATTTGTAGATCTGCTTGTTCCAAACATATCCTTTCACATGGCTTCCAGCTCTGAGATTCTCTCTCATGTCCTTCAGTCTTCCCCCTCCTTCATCCAGACTGTCAGGTTCTGTCATCAGAATTCCAGAGAAGAAATCACAATATATCTGTTCTTTCACTGAGCAGAATAAGTGTAAGTAATCTACAATCTATGAAAGAACTCTCCTCAGTGAGGTGCCATCCCTGGTACAATGTACTGGGCTTTGGTAGGAAGAGAGAAAAGGCTAGCAGGACCTCAAATTTGGTAACCTATGGGGTTCATCGTAGACTTTTAGTAGGTAAGCATCTTGAAGAAAATAACGAAAATGTTTTACTACTTAATCAAAAATAAGCCTAAAAAGTTTTTTAAAATAGGCCTAGATATTTTAATCATTGACAAAAATGGGAAATATTGATTTGCTAAATTGCTTGTTTTTCAAATTTCACAACTATTTTTCAATGAGTTGAAACATCTCAGAAAATGGATAGTTTGGATTTAAGATTTTAAAATAAATATCTCCTGGGCTTCAGAAAATTACTTTAAATTTTCTACTCTATCATAACTTATTTATTTTGCCCCCAAAAGAATGTTGATGTACTTGGAGCAATTTTTTTATAGCCTCCATTGATACGTCTTAAGGATTCTAAGTTAAAATAGTCTTCACTTCTAAAGCAGAGTTCTGTTGTTGTTGTTTTGATGAGCAGAAGGTGTGTGTGTGCAGAATTTTATCTCCTTCCTTAATGGTGGTGGAGGGCTGGCATTTGCTCTGTTTATGGAAATTATCAAGCGGTTTGGCTCAGTTTGGCTTGGAAGTGACCATGCTCCCAGAGCTGGGCGATGCCTCCCGCCATCTTGTGAAGGAAGCTCGATTGTTATCGGGAGCCATTAAACGCGGGTACTTCAAGGGTCACAGTCTGATGGAGGAGAGGTGGGATCACCAAAAGGGGACCATTTGTCTCCGTTTTTCAACTTATTTCCCACCCCCATCTCCCTTGCCCTTCGCCCTTGTTCCTTCGGAACCCCTCCCATTTGCAAGAGGTCCACCCCCCACCCCATCTCCTTCTGTCCGTCCTCTATTATTCTCTTTGTTTGCACTTTGCCTCACTCAGATGAGAAATACTACCTGGTATTTAAGTTTGTGTGGCTTCTTTATTTCACTTAACATTATATTCCCTAAATGTATGCAGCTCCCTACAAGTGTCTCAAACATACCCTTCTTTATTATTGAGTAATATTCCATTGTGTATGGATACCATGCTTTCTTTACCCTGTCATCCTTTGATGGGTATGCAGGCTGCTTCCAGGATTTCGCTATTACAAATTGTGCTGCTATAAACATCGGTAGGCCTGTGTCACTGTGGTACAGGGTCCTAAGCTCTTTAGAGGACCCAGTCTTGCTTATGCTCAGGGAGATAAAACTTTGCCCTTCCAAAGAGGCATCAGGGAATCATACTTAGGACTTAGACTAGCTTCTATAATGTTTTTTTTTTTCTCTCTCTCTCTTTTTTTTTTGCGTGAATTGGAAAATGGAAAAAAAAAAATCTTAAACTTTCCAGCGATAAAACAGAGTGAGCAGGAAATACATTTAAATGAATCTGGTCTTGCTGTGTAAACAATTTTGCAAATCTTCAAGTCTTTTTCTTTCGCTTTCTCTTCTGACAAGGTCTTATCAGTAGTTGTTAAATGTAAATGACGTATACCTTGGGACCATCTGATTGTGTCTTTTAACAAAAAAGGCTGCTTTATGGGCTGGTATTGGTTGGCATGCCCTATTTTACCAGACACTGTATTCCACACATTTGACTTCTTTCTGTGTGTGCCCAAACAGGCAAAACCACTCTTCTCTTCATACCATCCTCAGTTATCTTAAAGAAAACTGGAATGGAATTTCTGTTACGTTTAAGCAATTCTTCTTCACAGTTCTGTGTTCATTTCGCATTTCTGTTGAAGTCACTGCAGAATTATCAGCCTGAAACACGTGGGTGTCCATGAAATTGTGGTCTGAATGCTTCAGGTCTTTTAATAATTTTCAAGTTCCCAGCGCAGCTTTCATGGCTTCCTGGCAAACTGCTTTCTCCCAGGGCTCCTTGTCAGGAGGCTGCACTTGCTTAGCGGTTTCTCTCACAGGCAAGGCCAAAGTCAAGGTGTGCCGAGCTGGGAAAGTGGGGGCATCACCTAAATTCATTCAGGCCACTCCTTGGGATTGCAGGAAGGTGACAGACTTCTGTGTGTGCAGATGTGGGTGGCATTCAGGCGGTGTGACCAGAATTTGCACATCAGCTCTGAGTTCAGGTTCTTAGCAAAGCAGCCTCCAGGCCTGATGCAGAGGTGGGGACCCTCCCCCCGGAACACCCCATGTGCCAGGCCAGCTGTCTGTGAACCCAGGCTTGAGCCGCAACCCTCGCCTCCCACTCCGTGGTCCACTGCATTTGGGCCGAGGCTGAGTTCGAGTCCCAGACCTTGCCACCTGGCTGCCCTGACTTCCTTTGCCACGCGCGTGCTGACCCCAGAAACTCCAGGATCTGAGAACCCTGGCCTGGCCTGGCCCAGGGGTGGGGGTGGGGGGGACTATACCACCTGTCCCGCCTCACTCTTCCAGACCTGCTCCTCCTGGACCCAGCAGCCCCAGATATTTCTCGGCATATTTCTTCAAGACATCCTTTGTGAGACCAAGGGCGCACACGTCATAAATTTGAATAAATTTTTTTGTGTCTCCAGGGCTGAAGGGCAGGGAAGCACATAATGCCAAGAGTGGAAACCACACACAGCACAGGGCCAGGGGACCTCGCTGTGAGTCTAGCTCTGTCCCCATCTTCTCTCCTGCACAGGAGCAGCAGGGCTGCCCAGGTTGAGCTGAGGCCGGGTCCGCCAGCAGGGGAGAGCTCTTTGGAGCCTGGGTGGGAGGACTCCCTGGAGCTCCTGTGAAAGCCGCTCCTAGAATTCGTAGCTTGGCTTATGGGCCTTGTGAGGTCTGTTGGCGCCTCGCCTGTGGCCAGGAGGCCTCTGCTATCTAGGACGGTCATGTTGGGGGTCCTAGAAAAACAGCCAGGTGGGAGACAGCAAGATTACAGGAGGACTGTGGCCTGGAGTGCATGGACACTGCTGCGGACATCTTGCCCGCCCCTCCCACAGGATTTCTGTACTCACAGCATCAGCTCTGTCTGTTGAAGCAAAAAGTTCCCATTGACAGAAAGGAGCTACTAAAGCTGCTAAGCCTCCTACCAAAATTGCGAGAATTTGCACTACAAGGGCCTGAAAGGTGAGAAACAGAGCCTTGAGCTGCCCAGCTCTACCATCCCTCAGCCAGCTGGAGCTGAGCCCCACACTGGGCCACCCCTGTGGCCTCCCCAGGCCCACCCTCCTGGCCTCCTGGGGAGAGCACCACCCTGGCCCTGACAGCTCAGAGCGGGGAGGAGCAGTCTGACACACCCTCCCGCTCAGTCCCCTGGGCGAGGAGCAGGCTGAGCTGTTCAGCAAACACTTGGCAGGTGTTGTGGGCACTCAGGAGCTGAGGGTGGGGTCACAGGAGAGGGGAGACTGCTCTGTGCAGGAAGGCATGGGCCGGCGGAGGTGTGCAGCAGCCCCAGGGCACAGGGAGCTGAGAGGAGCCATCTGCCCTGTGGGCCTGGATGGGGCAGGCAGAGCTCCGGGGGACTCTGATGCCTGGTCCTCAGAGTGCAGCAGTTTGCCGGCTCTGATGTGGACCCAGCCTCACCCTGGATCCTGCAGAATCCCCATCATCTGCTGGGGCAGTGGCATTCTGTCTGGGAGGCACTGCCCTGTCCCTGCAGCTGAGAGAAGTCAGTGCCTTGGTTTCCACAGGAACCACTACCATAGTAACATGGGATGCAGGGAAGGCAGAGCCTCTTGTGCCTGGGATGCCCAGGGCCCAGCAGGGCAGGTACACAGTGTGAGGGGAGCCTAGGGCCCTGTAGAGGTCAAGGAAAGGCTGCCACTGCCATTTGGGCTCCACTATGAGGGCGATAAATACAATTTACTAATTCTCCCTAGCCCTGCATCCCTGGGCCCTGCCTGGAAATGCGCTCCTGCTGTCCTGCTCTCCAGGATCACTGGAAGGTCTCCAGGTGGGGCCCCGCAGGAGGCTTTGTCTTTCCAAGGTCAGGCCCGGGCAGGCTGGACACGAGGGCCTCCCCATGGGACTCCACAGTGCTGCTCTCGGTGCTCTGTGCCTGGCTTTGCTTCTGGGACTCTTCTGAGGCCCCTCCCAGCCTCCTGCCTGCCCCTCTCCTCAGCTCCTCACCAGGCCTGGGTGCTGCCTGGTGGTTTCTCTGCCAGCAGGAAAGGCCCAAGTATGCTCCAGGGCCTCCCTCCCCTGAGGTAGGGTCCCTGAGGGAAGGGTGAGGGGGACATCTGAGGGAGGTGGGGGAGATCTGGGGAGGGAGGGAGGGAGGAAGGGAGAGAGACAGAGAGGCAAACAGAGACAGACAGAGGTCAGGCAGGTGTGGTAGAAGCCCTCGGAGGACAGGGACAGGGTGGGTTGGGAGGGGCAGAGCGGGTTTGGAGGAGGAGGCTGCAGTGTGAGCCTGAGAGGCAGAGCCGGACAGTGCACTCAGACCGTTGTTTCAGGACTTTGTCTTGGGGGGAAGAGCCTGCTGGATAAAGCGGTAACAGAGCTGACAGGGACCAGGGGAAGCTTGGTCAGTTCGCCTCTGTGCTGGGGGCAAAGGGGAAGGGCAGTGAGGATCAGAGAGGAGAGGAAGGAGCGCATGCTGGGCCTCAGGCTGGACAGGGCTGGGGCTCTGCAGAGTAGCCGGCCGCACCCCTCACCCTGCAGGTCAGCAAGCCCTGTGGACCTCAACAGGCCCGAGCTCTGCAAAGCACCTGTACCTCCTACAGCAAGGCACACTGGTGTGAAAGGAGAATTTTCATGCCATTTGTGAAAAGCCAAAGCTGGCACTTGGTCCTCCAGGCAGCCAGGGACGGCGTCCTGCAGCCCCCCGGACCTGCTGCGGATTCCCACAGGGACCGAGAGGCACTTACCTCATTCATCCTGAGTCCGCAGCAGCTGTGCAGGGTCGCCTGGCCTAGTCCTGGCTTTGTTACTGAAGCGATCAGCCTGTGGTGTATATCAGCACCCAGGAATTGCAGAGGGCTGTGAGTGCAAAGCAAGGTATGAATGATGGAAACCAGCTGCACAGGAAAGTTGTCCAGGGCTGGTATTTATGGGGCAAAAGTGAAAGCAGGACGGAGAAGCTGAGATTGGTGGACCCTGGAAACCACATTCCTGTCTCCAAAAGCAGACTGAGTTCTAAATTTACAGGAGGGTATGATGAGCCGGTTCAGTTTCGCTTTCCTCTAACAGAAGCACTTGGGAGAAATGAGCCCCTTTCCCTCACTTAGGCTTCCAGGTTAGGCACTGGTTCTGCTTAGTCAAGAATTATTCAGGCTCAGTTTACTTTCATTCTGTTCTGCTAATGAGATCCCTGTATATTTATTTTTAGCTTTGTTTCTCATTGCTCAATTCTGCTGTCCACTAAACGGGCATGGAACACACACACACACACACACACACACACACACACACACACACGCACACACACAGAGGCAGAAAACGAGATTGCAGTGTTATCAGTCCGGCTAACAATGCTCATGGAGCGAGAGAAACAGTGCTCAGGAGTACCCAGAAACCCAGACGCCTGCTGAGCCCCTCCTGGGCCTGGTGGGCCCCGTGTCCAGGCCAGGTCTCCCCGTCCTCTCCTCTCCTCCTGCTCGGTGATTCCCTCTGTCCCTCAAGTCTGCCCTGGTTTCCCTGCCTTATAGGGAGCAGAGTGCAGAGAGGAGGGTGCACAGAGGGGAGCTTTGGGGGTGCCGCAGGGACCCCGCAGGGTCACGCCCAGAGACAAGGGTGGCATCTGGAGCTGGGCAGGGCCAGGGCCGGACCCCGTGTGGACGCCACAGTGCCTCAGACCCTGCCCTCCCCACAAGCGCTGGACACCCGTGAGAGCTGGCACCTGTGGCAGCAGGGGTGGAGTTCTGACCCCTTTGTGGGGCTGCCCAGTTTGTGCTGAGGTTTCCAGCCACACTTCCTGTCCTTGGTACTGGAGATCATGCCCAAGGGCACTGTGCCACTGAGGCACATTCCCAGCCCCTCTCCAGTTTTTACACTGTCATTTCAAAAACTTTAATGAGTAAATCTTTGCAGTATGTAATGTCTCCAGTTGCCTTAAAGGACAGACATCTCAGTCCTTTTTATCCAATGTCCCCTCCCTTCTGCCTTTCTGGTGCCAGTCGCATTTGTGAAAATCTCTCTCCCTGCAATGGGTCTGACTTACACTGTGCTGCTTTATTGCAATGAACAACCCCAGCCCATCCTGAATCCTCCTTGAGGGTCTGTTCTCCTTTCCTCCCCCTCCCACCACTACCAGAGGAAACCACACAGGCCGAGTACCTCTGCTCCCTCAGCTGTCCATGTTGGAGAGGAGCCCTTCGCCTGGCTGTGCTTGGAGGTGGCTGCTGGGTCCCCCAGAGTGGGCCAGACCCATAGCTGCTGAGAACAGCGGTTAGAAAAGGAGCCAGCTGGGCCCCACCCACCAGTCCCTCTGCTCCTGGACCCTCTCCTGACCTGGACTACAGCCCCTGCTAGCACTGTTGGCATCGCCACTGGCTACGACCTCCCAACTGCATAGGGCATGTCCTTGGCCTTTGGGGGGCACACGGATCCCCTGGGCTCTCATCCAGAAGGCAGTGGGCACCGCACAGCCAGGGGTTCTAAGGTCACAGCCAGCCTCTGCCTGGAGCTCTTAAGGGTGAGAGAAAAACCTGCGTGGTCCCTGACAGGTGCCCAGGAAAGAGACTCCACTGCAACAGGAGGCCATGAATCATGGCTCCCTGAAAAGGTCACCGCAGTTACACAGCGGCAGTGCTGAGAGTCAGCTGCCCCCCATTTTCTCCCTGGGCAGTGGGTGCAGCCCTGGGGTCCTCTGCAGCAGGAAAGGCCCCTGCCTGCCTGTTCTGGGGGTGGGGCCCCCGAGGGCAGGGTGGGGGACAGTTCACAGAAAGGTGGCTGTGGGCAGAGGCAGAGCCTGAGCCCGAGGGAGCCCAGTCCTGAAGAGGAGCCAGACTCTGCTCTCCAGCAGCTGGGCAGCTCCTGAGGGGGGACCGTCCCAGGAATTCTGGAGGCCTAATCCTTCCAGGACAGCTCCTGATCAAAGTGGGGTGAGAGTGAAGGAGTCTGCCTGAGGACTAGCACCGCGCCCGTTTGGTTCACTCATGTGACAAACACACACTGCAGTGAGAAACTTCTCCCAGGATAGTTCCGTCGCTGGACTCAGAGGGACTGGCACATGGGTGCCCTTGAGAGAGGCTGTGAGGAAAGAGGGGGGAGGGAGGGAGCCCCTGGCAGTGGATCCTGGTCTGCAGGCGGGAACAGGTGGTGTGTGAGGAACAGCAGGAGTCAGTGTAGGGGACAAGGACGTTGCAGAGGACAACGGGAGCCCAGGCCAGCGGCTGCTTTGTGGCCAGGGTGAGGAGGGCAGTATGTCTGGGGAGGCTCTGGGCAGGAGTGAGGGGGCCTGGCCGTGGAGGTGGTCCCGGCAGGGCAGCTGAGCTGAGCATGCAGGGGAGTCAGGGTGGGCAGGACAGCAGGGGCAGCTGCGCTGGGGGGCCAGGGTGTGGCCACCAGGGGAGGCGCTGAGTGCTGAGGGCCTTCAGAAAGAAGAGCCCCTGGAGACTCCCTGCCCAAGAGGCCCTGAGCAAGGAGAGGGAAGGGCTCCTCCGGGTGTCCAGCCCTGGGGAAACACAGCTTCCTTCGAGGGAAAGCTGAGCAGGGCAGGCTGAGGGCTGGGGCTCTGCCTCCCTCCAGGGAGGTTTGGCTGGGCTGGGTCACTCAAAGGGTCGTGGTCAGAGGGAAGGCTTTCTAACCCGGACAGGAAGAGACGGCCGGGTCTGGGAGCAGAGAGAGGGGAGAGGAGGATAGAGGCTGAGAGACTGCAGGAAGGAGAGCCGGGAGAGGAGAGAGCGAGACGGAGGGAGAGCGGGAGGAAGGGGAGGAGAGGGGAGGGAGGGCAGGGGGCGGAGAGGGTGGGAGACGGAGATGGACGGAAATATGGGCGAGGGAGAATCAGCTGTGGGAGGCGGAGGCCAGGCCCGGCTGGCGGGAGCAGAGGGGCGGGGTCGCGGCCTGCTGGGTCCGGATCCTCTCACGGTGGCCTCGTCCTTGCTGGAGGCAGAGGCGGGGTGGGGGCGGGGACAACTCGCCCGAAGTGGAGACCCCAGGATTCCGAGCACTTTGCACTAATCCCGGGTGCTTGGTAACATGTGGTGGTTCGGATATTAGGGTAAATTAAATGTTAAGCCGGCTTCACCTTCTGAGTTCTTTCCTCCTGTGGTGACCGGCACACCTGGACTGGCATTGCCGCCCGGGGGACGCGCACTGGGGAGTCCCACGTGGTCCCCGAGGTGGACGGCCGGGTCCTGCCTGCTGCCCACTGTGGAAATCAGTTTCACGGGAACACAGCTGCGCTGCCTCCTCCGGCAGCCGAAGCCCGCGGCTCCCACACCCTGAGCATGGATCTCTGCGGAAAGCAGCGCGGCCCAGTCCGGCAGAAGGCAGAGCAGTGGGCAGAGGCCGGCTGGTGGTCGTCCAGGCACCCAACACAGACGGCGCTTCCTCCTCCAGCCCCGCCAACAGGGCAGCCGGGGCCTCTGAGCTTTGCCCTGACTCCCAGACCTCAGCCTGTGCGGGCTTCCTGAGCGCTGCCCAGCTGGAGCCGGAACCGGGGCTGAGAGGGCTCTGCCCACGGCGTCCGTGACGAACAGGGTTAGACTCACCGCGGGCCTGCGGTACAGGCGATGCCCAGGCCGCTCAGCGGGGGAAGGTGCAGAGGGCCGGGGTGGGAGAGGACAGGAGCAGCGGGACACAGCCCGGTGAGGAGAGGCCTTCCGTTAAAATTCGCCTTAGGAGTTTGACCGCTGGAACCCCGGGAGGTGTTGCAGGTCACGGGATGAGACGTATCGTTGTGCAAACATCCCCCACCTAGCCCAGAACCCTTGCCATGGCGAAGTGCGTTGCAGTGCAGATCCTGGAACCCTGGCTTCTCCCCCGTCAAGTGGTGTCCCGTGTAGAAAGCTTGTAGGGTGAATTAGCTCTGAAGACCATTGCGTTACAGAGGGGAAACAGGCCTTGCTGCAGGATTCCCGAGAGTCTCCCCAAGCCGGTGGATGCTGCAGGCGGGAGGATCCCTGAGCTCTCCAGAGTCAGCCATCTGCACACAGCACCCTGGGGAGTGGCTGCTGGGCAGGGTCTCCGGGAAGCGCTGGCCCCTGGTAGGAGCCAGGCAGGGGTCTGGGGTGAGCTCTGGGGTGGGCCAGCCTCCCACTCCGTGACTCTGGGTCCAGTGCAGAAAGATCCGCCCAGACACCCATCGCTTCCCTCCGGACAGTGCTCTTCCGGTCACAGGGACCTGAATGCCGTGAGATCTGCACCATGGACCACCTGCTTCTCAGAGTAAACAAAGAACGACTTTAGTCTGCAGCCAGAAGGACAGAGCTGGCGTGTATCACTGTCCAGGGCTCTGCCTGCAGCGTCCCTTGGGGAAGCAGCTCCAGGTTCCAGGCCCTGCTCTGTGCCAGGTCTCAGCTCTGCTCCACCTGTCTTAAGACTTCTAGGGAGCCTCTTTCCCTCCCATCCCTTTACTCAAGGGACTCTGCCCACTCCCTGTCCGAGTCCCTGGGGCGTCTTCGGACTCCAGTCCCAGCTCCTGTAGCTGGGATGCAGGAGCCGCCTGAGTGGGATGCTCTAGTCTGGTCGCAGCAGGCACAAAGTGGGGAGGAACTGTCATGTGCTCTTCAGGTTCCCCGTGGGACGTATCCTGTGTGACACAGCCTGGGAATGTGGCTTGCCAGGCAGGAAGAATTGGGCTGATTTCACTGTGCTCACTGAGGACTCTGAAAAGAGGTCTGAGGAGAGGAGGGAACAAGAGCTCATGTCTGCTGAGTATGATGTGGAGGGGCTTTGAAGGGCTTCGCTGGGACACCATCCACATCCAGCTCTCCGGTTTCAAGCTCGCACTCCAGCTGTGTTTCCCGGGCCTCTGGAATCCTACAGCCACCCCAACCCAGGGTGAGGTGGGCCATCTCCCCCACCCCAGTCCCACAGCCTCACTCCCCCCGGGACTGTTCGGCAGCTTTGCCTTCTGCTGTTGCCCACCAGCCGGCCAAGCCCTCTTCTCATCCCTGTGTCAAAGACAGGCAGACTGAGGCCGGGAGATTGAACAGCGCACCATCAGGAGACAAAGCTGGGCATGAAATCGACCCATGTCAACCTCACTTGCTTCACTCTTGAGATTGTGACCTAAGCACCTTATCTTCTAATATTTTCAAATAGCATTGCTTTCCTACTTTCCCAAGAGGTTGCATCAGGTTTTTCTAATATTAATAATAATATTAGTTACAGTAATAATAAAATCCATAATATTTTCGTATTATATATGGCAAAGTATATATTCCTATTGGATTTGCAGATGAAGAGCTTGGATCCCAGTGAGAAGGTGTCGTCCCTACAGTCACACAGCTAGATCATGGTGAACCCAGGAATCAGCCTGAGGCACCCACTCTCCCCTCATCTGAGGTAAGAAGAAAACTCCTCTCTCTTCATCTGGTAAAAGGATCTCATGTGAAATTGCCTTTTCTGTTCCTGAGTACTTCATATGTGTTTCTAACTTGTCAACTATCTTCCTGTAGCTTGTACATTCACACACAAACACACACACACACACACACACACGCACACTCTGTATCTGGAATGCAATCATTTCTCCTTATAATGTTTCTGATATCAAAATCACGAAGACAAAAGTGTGTCATCCACCAAAATTATAAGTAATTTAAGAAAATTTTTAAAATTAAATCTTCAAATATATGTTACTTTGTGCCATCAAATGATTAAAATTATAAAGATTACCTTGGAAGTTTATTTTATTCTTGCTATTAAATTTATACCATGAATGGATTATGTAGTCCAGAGAAAAATATGTCATTTAAATCATCAATACTGGGAAATGGTGTTTGAGAGTCCTAGCTATATTATTTGAAATTTAAATGTGACTTGGAAATTTGAAGCCTGTTATTTTATTCTCATATTTAACATTGGAAATTCATTAATACTTCTTATGTTCCTACTGTGTACAATGTGTAGCCATATCATCCCCAGTCCTTGTAGGATTAGGTCAGTAACTATTTCTAATCCTCTAGTTACTAGATGCCTGACTGTGTTAAACTACTTCTTTAGTTTCTAGGGAAATATTAATAGTACCATATCATGCATTACATTAAAAGGAAAACTTTCATACTCAGCACATGTTTCAACACATTGTAATGAGTATTTAAAATTATCACTATAACTTGGGCCATCATAAAATAAAAATTATTAGCCAAAATGCAAAACAGTGAAGCATAATTTAAGAAGCTCATTTGAAAAGACAAACAGTAACTACTTGAAATCACAGGAGAATAATTTTGGTGGATTCATCTGACAAAGTGTTTGCGCTGTTTTACACCACGATTACGCCCTTGTTCAACGCCCTCATCTACATGCTGAGGAAAAGACATAAAGAAACCATGAGGCAAGTGTGGTGCCACCACAGATGGTTTGAGAGGAGTGGAAGCCTCTGCTGCCGAAGCCCATTGATCAGTTTTTAACCACAAAATCAGAGTCATCAAACGCAGCAGGAGCCGAGAGGAAGGATGTGGCCTTCAAAAATCACCAGAATTGGGGAGAAAAGTCCCCCTCTCGCTTTCTGTTTTGCTGAGCCTGTATCCATGGTCTTGGATCAGTTTTGACATCTGCAACTTACTGGGCCCATTATGACCCTAAATAATCATGAGCATGGTGACAACATTATCAGGACAAGTTACGCACACTGCACAGCTTAGCAGTGGCCATGAATTGATTGAGAACAATCAGGCAGTCACGAAGGTGCAGGTGCAGACATTAGGAAGGACTTCAAGAACTTCTCCATGAAGTGGCAAGAGGGATAGAATAAATACATTTAAAGTGAGGGAGAGTAGTTTGAGGGGATTCATAGCCATATGTCTTTTACTGTAATCATTTTTTAAAACATGTAAGTACAGTATTCACCCTACTTTTAGATCATACTATGCATCTGTTGTATGTTGTAACTATTTACACTAAGAAATTATGCTTCTAACATAAGGCAATGCAATGTAATTATGCAAAGCACTTATGTAATTATTTACTTTTATTTATTTGAAGTTATTGTAATCAATTATCAGTACTGTAGAGTGATGTATTTTCCTAATGAGAATTTTCAAATTGGGGTAATGATATCCTCAAAATGTGGCAATAAAAATGCTCACCACTCATGCCCACAGAGAAGCAGCAGTTTGAACAACTACCCTCCTACACACACACCTTCGCAAGAGTTAAGGAAACCAGGTAAGACATTGCGGCACTGAGTGTGTAGTACAAATGTCAGAAAAGATACCCTGAAGGAAATAGGAAGAAGTTTTGCTTTTTCTATTTCCCTGATCCCTGATCCTAGAAATGGAGAAAAGTGGAGGAAAAAGTGGAAATTTAGCAACGCACTTTGCTCAAGACTTAACACTGTGGCTGCCCAGTGAAATCTAGAAAAGTACAGACCCTCCTGACCCCATATAGTGGTCTTGGCAAAAGTGGATTCAGGATACAGGATGCTCTCAGTGGATGCAAGAAGGAGACCTATCCCAGTGCTCAGAAGCCTCTGCAGACTGGAGTTCAGGTCCACTCCATATTGTCAGACCCCCATGGGCACAGGCTTCAAATTGGTCCCTGAGGACATAGAGTCCAGGCCAACCCCATGTGCCCGATGGATGGATCCTACTCAGAGGATCTAGATTTCAAGTGAAATTGCATGCACCCACATTCAAGGCCTGCTCACCTGTTGAAGAAGGCACAAGAGCAGCTCCTTCACACACACACACACACACACACGCACACTCTGTATCTGGAATGCAATCATTTCTCCTTATAATGTTTCTGATATCAAAATCACGAAGACAGAAGTGTGTCATCCACCAAAATTATAAGTAATTTAAGAAAATTTTTAAAATTAAATCTTCAAATATATGTTACTTTGTGCCATCAAATAATTAAAATTATAAAGATTACCTTGGAAGTTTATTTTATTCTTGCTATTAAATTTATACCATGAATGGATTATGTAGTCCAGAGAAAAATATGTCGTTTAAATCATCAATATTGGGAAATGGTGTTTGAGAGTCCTAGCTATATTATTTGAAATTTAAATGTGACTTGGAAATTTGAAGCCTGTTATTTTATTCTCATATTTAACATTGGAAATTCATTAATACTTCTTATGTTCCTACTGTGTACAATGTGTAGCCATATCATCCCCGGTCCTTGTAGGATTAGGTCAGTAACTATTTCTAATCCTCTAGTTACTAGATGCCTGACTGTGTTAAACTACTTCTTTAGTTTCTAGGGAAATATTAATAGTACCATATCATGCATTACATTAAAAGGAAAACTTTCATACTCAGCACATGTTTCAACACATTGTAATGAGTATTTAAAATTATCACTATAACTTGGGCCATCATAAAATTTAAATTATTAGCCAAAATGCAAAACAGTGAAGCATAATTTAAGAAGCTCATTTGAAAAGACAAACAGTAACTACTTGAAATCACAGGAGAATAATTTCGGTGGATTCATCTGACAAAGTGTTTGCGCTGTTTTACACCACGATTACGCCCTTGTTCAACGCCCTCATCTACATGCTGAGGAAAAGACATAAAGAAACCATGAGGCAAGTGTGGTGCCACCACAGATGGTTTGAGAGGAGTGGAAGCCTCTGCTGCCGAAGCCCCTTATTCAGTTTTTAACCACAAAATCAGAGTCATCAAACGCAGCAGGAGCCGAGAGGAAGGATGTGGCCTTCAAAAATCACCGGAATTGGGGAGAAAAGTCCCCCTCTCACTTTCTGTTTTGCTGAGCCTGTATCCATGGTCTTGGATCAGTTTTGACATCTGCAACTTACTGGGCCCATTATGACCCTAAATAATCATGAGCATGGTGACAACATTATCAGGACAAGTTACGCACACTGCACAGCTTAGCAGTGACCATGAATTGATTGAGAACAATCAGGCAGTCACGAAGGTGCAGGTGCAGACATTAGGAAGGACTTCAAGAACTTCTCCATGAAGTGGCAAGAGGGATAGAATAAATACATTTAAAGTGAGGGAGAGTAGTTTGAGGGGATTCATAGCCATATGTCTTTTACTGTAATCATTTTTTAAAACATGTAAGTACAGTATTCACCCTACTTTTAGATCATACTATGCATCTGTTGTATGTTGTAACTATTTACACTAAGAAATTATGCTTCTAACATAAGGCAATGCAATGTAATTATGCAAAGTACTTATGTAATTATTTACTTTTATTTATTTGAAGTTATTGTAATGAGTTCTCAGTACTGTAGAGTGATGTATTTTCCTAATGAGAATTTTCAAATTGAGGTAATGATATCCTCAAAATGTGGCAATAAAAATGCTCACCACTCATGCCCACAGAGAAGCAGCAGTTTGAACAACTACTCTCCTACACACACACCTTCGCAAGAGTTAAGGAAACCAGGTAAGACATTGTGGCACTGAGTGTATAGCACAGATGTCAGAAAAGATACCCTGAAGGAAATAGGAAGAAGTTTTACTGTTTTTATTTCCCTGATCCCTGATCCTAGAAATGGAGAAAAGTGGAGGAAAAGTGGAAATTTAGCAACGCACTTTGCTCAAGACTTAACACTGTGGCTGCCCAGTGAAATCTGGAAAAGTACAGACCCTCCTGACCCCATATAGTGGTCTTGGCAAAAGTAGGTTCAGGATACAGGATGCTTTCAGTGGATGCAAGAAGGAGACCTATCCCAGTGCTCAGAAGCCTCTGCAGACTGGAGTTCAGGCCCACTCCATATTGTCAGACCCCCATGGGCACAGGCTTCAAATTGGTCCCTGAGGACATAGAGTCCAGGCCAACCCCATGTGCCCGATGGATGGATCCTACTCAGAGGATCTAGATTTCAAGTGAAATTGCATGCACCCACATTCAAGGCCTGCTCACCTGTTGAAGAAGGCACAAGAGCAGCTCCTCTGCAAGGATTCCCACAGCAAGCTTTCTAACCACCTGCCCTGCTGCTGAGGTACACCCACAGCCCTAGAGTCATTCTTAGTGTTGTCTTTAGAAACTTTAAGGTGCTGGAGTAGAAGTCAGCAGCAAGTCACACCTCCTCTGGAACCTGGAACCCAGAAAATGACTACTTAGAAAAGATAAAGAGAAGGAGAACTTCAAGAATCAAGAAAGAGCCTGCAGGAAAGCTAAAAAATCACAAAGGAACAGAAGACAATCCAGAGGAAAAAATGAATCAGTCTGAAATGCTAACATCAGCTCCCAGGGCAAGGAGGGGAGCTCAACTCTACAAGCACAAGGTGAACATGGAAAGAACCAAGAAAATCTGAAACCCCATCAACAAACAGCAGTCAGGCAGCACTAGCCCCAGAAAAAATCCATGATTACTGTAGCCTGCAACACAGGGTGGGGTTTTTCTTTGA